GTAATCAGGTGTCATGGACTGATAACAACCCTCTGTCTCAATCCTGAGTTGTTTTGTGCTGTCTGATCAGATCTGACTCACAGTTGACCCTCTAGTGAGTTTTCAGGGCTGTGAATAGCACAGAATGAAATTACCCATCTTTCTCCTATGGAGTAGCTGGTGGATTTGAACCGCAGGCTTTTTGGTTGGCAGCACAATTCCTTACCCACTAGACTACCAGAACTCCCTAGTTCTAACTACGTTATCTCAAAGACCACCATCTGTGTAGAGTCCCGAGATACATGTAGTGAGGGGTGTATTGTGAGGTGGTTACTAGACCGGGTTATTAAACCAAAATCCTAACCTATTGTTACCTGACTCAGGCCATGGTCTTTGCAGTCGCTTGTCGTGCATCTGAGAGCTGGACAACGACTAAAGATGACAGAAGAATTGATGCTTTTGAGATGTGGTGTTGGAGAAGGGTGCTGAATATCCCAGGGACAGCCAAAAGAGCAAACAGGTACGTCTTGGAGAAGGTGCAGCCAGAGTGCTCCCTGGAGGCCAAGAGGAGGTGGCTTTATCTCACACTCTTTGGGCCTGTTACCAGGAGAGGCTATTCCTTGGAGAGGAATGCTTGTGAAAGCAGAGGGGCGGGGAAAGAGAGAAAGAGCCTCAACAGGGTGGATTGACACAGTGACTGCAGCAGCGGGCTCAGGTGTGTCAGAGACGGTGAGGATGGCATGGGAGAGGACAGCGTTCAGCTCTGTCGTTCACAGGGTCACTATGAGTTGTACTCAACTCAATGGCACCAAACAACAACAACTGCTATCAAGCCACTTGGCACTCACGGTGACCCTCCAATATCACTCTGCAACGGCGGCATGGATACGTCTCTGCTGTGTTAAGTCTCCACGGTGTTAAGAGGTGCCTCGCCCAAAAGCACACACATTGCATTTAGAAGTTCCTCAACAACAACAACAATGGATCACTAGGGAGCCCTGGTGGCCTAGTGGCAAGACTCACAGTTGGAGACCACCAGCTGCTCTGCCTGAGAAGGGTGGGCAGTCTCCTATCATTCAATTAACTACCTCTGAAAACCGCCAGAGGGTCAGCTGTGGGTCGGTCCGACTTGATGGTACACAGCAACGGCAACAACAGGAGGTCAGCAAGGGCCGATATTCCAACCTCCGTGTGTACTTAACCACCTTGGAAATGGAAAGCACCCACAGCTAGAATCAAAATTACCCAATCAGAGGCATCGTTAGTTCTATTCCAGGCTCACAATGAATGATCCTTTTGAGACCTTAGCTTTTAGCCCAGATCCCTGACTGATACGTTCTCATTTGTCCTCATATACTTTACATAGAAAATTGACTGAAAAGCTAACATTTGGAGTTTTGCTGACTGATGCGTTCTCATTTGTCCTCATATACTTTACATAGACAATTGACTGAAAAGCTAACATTTGGAGTTTTGCTGACCTGAGTTTGTGGGCTTGTCATCAATCGCATTGTTCCTCCCAGACTTAATTTTTCTGAGAAATGGTCATAATGACATACAACTCACAGATGGTCATGCTTGTGTATCATACACTTTTTAAAGGGAGGAATAAAAATATACTCGGGGTTAAAAAAAAAAGTTCCTCAGTCATTAGTTGGCTCCAGTTCTCAGTGATCAGAACACCTGGCCCTGCGGCAGCCTCAGGATCAGGTGCAGGTGGGGCAAGGTCCCACGGACTTGGCAGGGTCAGTTTTAGCCTTTCTTCCCATCTGTCTTAATCTGGAAACTCTGCTGGCCTGTCCAGCATCATGGCAACCCACTCAGTGTTGACAGATGGGTAATGACTGTGTAGGATGTGCAGTGACCAGCAATCAAACCCAGGTTTCCAGCATCAGAGGCAAGAATGCTACTTACCTTTTTTTTTTAAAGAAAAATCCTTGTTTACTGTCAAATCGGATCCAACTGGAACAGAAGAGATTGCTGCCCCTCTTTCTCCAGCAGAGCATCTGGTGGATTCAAACCACGCCTTTGGGATTGCCGCACAGCTTCTTGCCACTAGGCCACCAGAGCTCCCTAAAAATGCTACTTTTGAACCACCAAAGCCTCATGTGCAATTCTAACCCAGACAAAACAAATTTATAATAGAAGTAAGATTAGTGGTTGCCCCAGGGGCAGGGGAAATGATTAACAAGCCAGGGACAGCAAAGAACGTTCAAGGGCAGATGGGCATTGTCCACCTCTTGATGGGAGGTAGTTACACAGACGCATTCATTTGTCAGAATTTAGGACTGCAGTCTTCAATATGGATTGAAGTTCAATATCAAGACAACAAAGATTCTTGAGGGGAGGGAGGAAATTGTGCAACAATGAATGAATGGAAATCCAAGTTTTCTGTAAACTTTCATTAAAATATCAATTAAAAAGAGAGAGAGAAAAATAGATTCTCACCACTGGGCCAATTGGCAGCAGCATCATGATAGATGGAGAAGAGACTGGGGTTGTTAATAATTTCAGCTGTTTGGCTCCATGATCAACACTCATGGCACCAGCAGTCAGGAAATAAAACCCAAATTGCATTAGAAAAATCTGCTTTCAGGGGACTGCTACAGAGTATTAAAGAGCAATGATGTCTAGAGACTACGGTGCACCTGATCCAAGTCACGATCTTTGCAATTTCTTGTTGTGTTGTGGTCCTGGAGAAAAGTACTGAAGATACCACAGACAGCCAGGAAAACAAACAAGTCTGTCTTCTTGGAGATGGTGAAATCAAATTTCTCCTTGGAGGTAAGAATTGTGAAACTCCATCTCACATACTTTGGGCACATTGCCAGGAGGGACCAGTCCTTGGGAAAGGACATCATGCTTGGAAGGGTGGAGGGACAATGCAAGACAGGAAGACCCTGGATGAGCACAGTAACTGGGGGAATGGGGTAGGTGTGTCAGAGACAGTGAAATTGGTTCAGGTCAGGGTTCAGAACTATTGTACTCATAGGGTCGCTATGAGTCACAGCCAACTCTGTGGCACGATGTTATATTGTTATGTGCCATCGAGTTGGAACTGACTCATAGCTGACCCTCCGGGGGCTTTCAGGGGCATGGGAAAGTATTGCCATGGCAAAGTCTGCTGCTAGGGACCTCTCCAAAGTACTGAAGAGCAATGGTGTCTCTTTGGAGACTAAGGTGCCTCTGATGCAGGTCATGGTCTTTGCAATCACTTGTTATGCATCAGAGAGTTGGACAATGACCAGGGAGGATAGAAGAATTGATGCCTTTGAGCTCTGGTGCTGGAGAAGAGTATTCAATGTACCGTGGACTGCTAGGAAAACAGATTCATCCTGGAGAGGGCTAAACCGGGTGGCTCCTTGGAGGCAAGGATTCTGAGGCTCTGTGTAATTTACTTTGGACATGTTGTAAGGAGAGACCGGTCCTTGGAGAGGGACATCATGCTTGGGAGGGTGGAGGGACAGCGCAGGAGAGGAAGGCCCTCTATGAGGTGGATTGATTCAGTGACTGGTGTAATCAGGATGAGCGTGTCAGAGACAGTGCAATTGGCACAGGTCAGAGCAGGGTTTAGGGCTGTTGTACATAGGGTCGCTATGAGTCACAAGCAACTCGACGGCATATAACAACAACAACAATCACATGGGAAGAAATCCTCCCATGGAGTACCTGATGGATTCTAATTGCCTACCTTGGGGGTTGGCAGCTCCTTACCTACTAGGTCGTATCCATTTTATAGCATGGCAGTTACACCAATTTAAAAGCAAACTTCAGACTTTCCAAGTTCAAGTCCATTGCTCTTTCCAGAGGTTGGGAAATCAGGATACGTGCAAAGTGTAATGAGGATGGAGGTGGTGAGGATGGTGAAACATGGTATTTAAAGCAGCAGGGTGGCAGGGACATGGGTGGAGAGGCGAGGGAGGGAGGGAGAAGTGGTGAGGTGAGCGAGCTTTGGAGTGGGCTGAGGCGGCAGAGAGCGCTGCCCAGTGCCTGATGGGTCCCGGATGTCTCACTCAGCGGTGCTTCCACAGCCCACCCTGCACTCCGGTGACTCACAGCTGAACTGTGCGTTTTCTAAAGGAGGAAATGACTCATGTCTCCCCAGTTTTTGCACACACACAAGAAAGTGAGAGCTAAAAGCATATGGAATTCCAGGACTCTGAAGAAAAGGGCAAATTCCCTATGAGGAGGAGCTCAGAGGAGGCGCTTCGAGCAGCCCTTCCAAGCCTGGCATTGCAGACCCTCTCCAGCTTTCCAAACCTTTGCCTAAGACCCCAGGGGGCACATACCATGTGCCACTGGGGCATCTGGAAACATCAGTTAGTGCCTTCAACCCACTGTCACGGAGTGGATTTCAACTCTCAGCAACCCCACAGGGTCCACCAATCTGTCATGTTTATGGGCTCAGATTGGCATTTTTCTCCCTCAGAGTAGCTGTCAAGCACTTAACCATTGTGCCACCAGGGCTCCTTTCAATTAACCCTTTACCTTAAAGGGCCTAGTAGTAAGAGGCTGTGCTGCAATCCCAAAGACACGGGGTTTGAATCCTCCAGCTGCTCTGTGGGAGAAGGCTGGGCAGTCTTCCGTGTGATTTACTGCCTCTGAAAACGCACTGGCGGGTCAGCTATGGGTCAATTACAACTTAACTGTACTGAACAACAATTAGGCGTAAAAGCAATAAAATCCCATCTCTAGCCATCAAACCCAGATGCCAACCATGATAATACATGGCTGCTAGGCACAGGCAGCTGAAGATGGAACCAAGCAGAAGACCACAAATGCTACTGATTTTGGTCAGAAGCAGGGATCTGACTGCCGGCTGTGTTTAAAAAGTGGTTTTCGGGGGGAGGGGGGAAGAAGAACGAACTGGGGATGAGGGTGGAGAAAACAGTGCAACAATGAATGAATGAAAACCCAAAATCTCTGTAAATGTTCATTAAAACTAATAAAATTTAATAAAAGGAAAAAAAAGAAAAAAGGGAAAAAAATAAAATAAAAAGTGGTTTTCACTGAACAGGCACCGCCAGGTGGCAGTCGGCTAAGCCCCATGGCCTCACTCTTGGATGGGGACCAGGAACCAAATGACAGCACCTCACACCTATGTCTCACATCAGTTCCCGAACTAGGGGACAAAACCAGCCCTGTCACCACACAGCACAGTTCAAAGAAACCACACAGCGTCCTCTCTTTCTCTGGTGCTGCACAAGCCAAGTTTGGGTTTTCCAAGTCAGTTCATGTGAATTTCAGCAAAACCCAACGGCATTCCTTTCGCCCTCCCTCCCTCTGTCGGCCCAGACTTACAGAATCACTGCCCCACCCTCAAAAAATAACACAACCAACCAACCAACCAAACCCCCTCTCAACTCTAGCCTTTGGGCCTCTGGTGTCATGGGTGAGAAATCAGGAATAAGGTTATCGAAACAGAGGCAACTGCCCATTTCTGCTTTTTCCACCAGCAAACAAATGAGGTGGTGAATGCTCTCGATGGTTTGGTGTTGTTTTTTTTTTTTGGCCCAGAGTGTGAATCAGTTGTCGTACAAGACAATCAAGGTCGCAGGCCGACTCATTTCCTCGATTAAAGCCTTGAACTTGAATCAGAAGGCAGTTCCCTAAAGCTTTGTTGGGCAAGCTGAGTGGTGCCAAGCTCTTTCACCCAGGGGTGATTATCTTGATGGCCAGACCTTTGTTGCTCAATCCCCTTTGCTGCTGGTTACAGCCTCTCAGTGACAGATGGTCAAAGTGCAGATGTCATTAACAGAATTAACACAGAATGTGAAGGTTCCAAAGGCTTCAGGGCGGCCAAGCACAGAGAGGCCAACAAAAACATTTGACTGGCACTTGACGTGAAGAGGATCCATTGCCTCTGTACAGTCCGTTCTGACTCATTGACACAGAGCACAGTGGGTCTTTCTCCAAGCCGGTGATCTTTATAGGCATCAGAACAGCTGGCGGGTTCAAACCTCCAACCTTTCAGCTAGCAGCCAAGTGTTTAACCATCATGTCAGGATGGCACATAATTCACCTGAGAGATGTCTGATCTCACTAAAGCTTTCCCCTAGTGATCCCTGGAAGAAATCAGGGAATGACAATCCTCCAGGGACTGTAGCTAACACGGCTGTGACGTGGAGGTACCAAGCCTTCACACGCGTAAACTGATTTTGATCTAAGTGAGGGCGTGCAATCCCACACCTTGGAGAACAAGCCTTTGCCCCAACAAGGAAAACGGGTTCCTGGGTGCTGATATCAGGGGAGAAAAGAAGCTATCAGCTCTCCTGCACCTGAGAAAAGTCCCGGGGCCAGTAGCCTTCTTGGAGGCAGAAGACAAATACATCAGATCTCAATCCCAAACCGGAGAAAACCAAGGTGAAGGCAGGCCTTGCTCAAGTCTTCACTAGCATTTCCTAAGCAGGTGTTCGCCAGGCTAATCAATTATTTCTGGTTCAATATGCTTCAGGAGATGGGCCCTGGGCATCGCTGGGATCGATCACCTGTGGTGGCCCCTGGGTTCCCTTCTTCCCAGAAGCTGATGTGTCATTGATGCCAAAGTTCCCCTGCTGGAAGCCGTCTCCTGTCTTAATAATCAGAAAGCTTCCTGCAATCGCTTTGATCAATGGGCACAATCAGAGGCGAGGCAGAGTCCCGAGGGCCATTCAAGCCACCGCCTCTGCCAACTGTACAGCCGCCTCTCAGCAGCTAACGGAAAACGTCCAGAGGGTGGGGTGGTGGGCACCGGGGTCATCACCAGCCTCTTAAGCAAATCGACACATAACATCCTTAAACCAAGACACGATGGGCGTTCAACTGACCCCTTTAGAGCCTCTGAACAGGTAGCCCCGAGACCGGGCCGCGGGGCTGCCTCCCAGCCGGCCCAGAGTGACAGCGGCCAAAGGGTTCTAGAACCCTCCTCTGCTCCTCTGTTGAGCGCAGGAGGGTTTGGGAACCGAGCCCACGGGGGCAGCCCGAGTCCCCTCTGTGAACTTCTCCAGGACAGACGGAATGAAGACAGCCCCATGGACAACGCTCGGGACCGCGAACACCCGGAGGTCTAGCCCGCGACCCTCTAGGCGAGAATGACGTGCGGCCGGAGCTCCACGCCCGTTCCGCCTCGCGTAGCCCCGCCCCGAGCCGTGCGCGCCTCCTTAGCCACCTTCTCCCATTGGCTGAGGGGAGTGGCTCGAGGCTCGCCTGTTCAAATAATAACCAATGGGATTGCGGGGGCGGGGCTGATGGGCGGGACCGGAGGCGGTGGCTCAGAGTTGAAGCGCGCGGGGCGGCGACCCCAGGAGCCGGGCCCCGCCGGGGGTGGTGGGGGCACCTCGGGTCGCACAAAGCCGGTCCCACGCGGAGGTCTCCCCCTGTTCACCCGCTGGAGTCGGGGAGGGTTTTGCGAGGACCTCCAGGTGGGGTCGTCCGCCCCTCTATCTGAGCGTCCCCCAGTTGTCTTCGGGACCCTCGTTACTAGAATGATCGCATGAGCAAGCGGATCCTTCCTCCCATTCAGTGCTGGAGTGCGCAGAGGTGAACGAGGGTTCCATCACCCGGCAGAACCCCTGCTCCTCTGAGCCCTCCGAGCCCCCTAAACTTCACGCGCCCCTCAATGCTCCCTCCAGCCCTCGTGAAGGACCTCGGACCATTACCCTAGTGTTCTCCCAAGTCCGGAGTGACTTTGCCCCCTGCACACGCGCGTGTGCTCCCACTCCGGAGGGGCCACCCCACCCCAGCCCCCTGGAGCCCGCGACTCCCCAGCACCCGGAGCCAGCCTCACCTGCAGCCCCCGCCGCGGCCAGGAGCAGGACGACGGCGCAGCGCATCCCCCAGCCAGCAGACCCCATGCTCGCAGCAGCCCCGGCCCGGAACGCAGTGTCGGCGCTGGAGACTCAGGCAGCGCGTGGCCGAGCGGTGACTGCACGCGGGGCTCGAGTCCTTGGCAGCCTTTCAAGGAGTGCTTTCTCGCCGGAGGAGGAGTTTGCAGTGGGGTGATTTTCAAATATCTTCCCCTCGAGGCGGGGGGAGGAGTTTCGAACGCCCGATGTGACATCGGCGCTTTAACCCCTGCAGCCCTGACTAGGAGCCGCGTCCCTGCAGAGGCGGCCGGGCTCCAGGACTTGGAAATGCGCTCTGAAAGGGAGGATTCCCTCTGCTTTGAACGGCTGCATTCGCCCTTTTTACCCCTTTTCTTTCTTCCCCATGCCCAGAGGAGGTTGTTAAAAACCGATCTTCTAAAACATTTTCACGACCATTTCCCCTCTGCTGGGAAAGAACAACTTTGAGGTTTTGCTGGAAGTCTTCGCCTTTCTCCTTCTTTGGTTAGCTGTTTCCTTTCTAGGAACTGAACATAGTTTTGTTTTGTTTTGTTTCTCTTTTGAACGTATGTAGTTTTTCAGACGATCAGTCCCAAACCACCTTCTGAACACGTACAACTCCATGAGAAAAGTAAAAAAAGGCTTCACAAAAAGAGCAATTTTGTTTGTGAGCCAAGGACTGGGGGCGGGAACACATACACACAAAAAACTCAACCTACTTTAAAATAAAATCAACTGATGCAGAATATAAATAAATATATTGATTGATCAGGAGAAGGGTTTGGACAAGAGCAGTTGGTGCTCCTCACGGCAAAATAAAACAAAATGGGCCAAAAAAACCCTGAAAACACAATTGACCTTGCAACTTTTAAGAATTCTCTTTTGGAATTCCTGCTTTGCCATAAAGGCACATTGGGGAAACCTTCTTAAACCCCACAAAAGGCCTAGTGGAAGGTGCCCCGCCCCAGGAGTCTTCCTGGGTCTTGTAAATCAAACTTTGTGAGAGTGATAGCCAGTCAGCAGGTCACTATGAACCCAGAATAGGTAGGGGGGAAAAGGCTGAAAGAAAAAAGTGATGGATTCAGAGGAGGAATGTTCTCACAGAACGTGTATCACCTAAAAGTCTGAGCCAGACGCTGGGTAAATAAATTCTCCTTTCCCAGTCCAAGAAGAGGAGGTAGTAGTACCTGCTTCTCCAAGTTGGCAGACTTAAATGGGTTTGTTACCAATCACCTGAGGAAGTCTGCAGGACTAGGCAAGTTCTGAGAGGTTTGGCAACCTTCATGCATGTGTCACCACGAAATTCCATTCCTGTTCCATAAGCTACTTTTAAAAACAAAAATCCTAAAAAGAAAACCAGAAATATTACACAACACTAAGGGCTCACTTTCTGCCAGGAGCCCAGTTTTCTCTCGTTCATCTGGAAACGTCTTTCTCTCTCTCCCAACAGACCTGACAAGAGTTACTGAGGGTAGGACTGTATGAATGAAGAGGACCCCAGAAAAGCACCTTCCTATGATGCCAAGACCGGGGTGGGAGTTCTACAACTTCTTCCCCCTCCTCTGAAGTCTCAAATTCCCTACTCTGCCAGCCACACCCAGCTAGATATTAACCTGAGGGTGGGGCCAGGTCACCTTAATTTCTCTGTGCCCTACTTCCTGGAGTCTACATGTGCTCGCTTCCACATGGGAGACTCTAGTGTGAGGCCCGCCCAAGGAACCTCAGGCATTGCTCATCTGTCAGCAAAAGATTGATTCAGGTCATGGTGGTGGTGTTTGGTGCCCTGCCGATTCATAGCAATGCTTCAAACAACAGATCTGAACCCTGTTCTGTCCTGTGCCATCCTCCTCGTGGCTACAATCACTGTGTCGATCCGTCCAGGTGAGGGTCTCCCTCTCCTTCCCTGACCCTTCACCTTTCTAAGCGTGATATCCCTTTCCTAGGAATAGCCTCTCCTAAACAATATGTTCAAAGTATGTGAGACAAAGTTTAGTGATCCTTGCCTCTAAGGAGCACCCTGGCCACTCTCTGTCCAAGACACATCTGTTCTTTTCAATAATCCATGGGATATTCAGTAATCTTCTATAATATCACAACCCAAAGGCATCAATTCTTCTGTCATCCTTCCTCCTTGTCAAACTCTCAGAGGCTGAATAACTTTTTGAGTTACAGAGAGGTCTGTAGGAAGAAGTCTCTTAGGAAGAGAGGTCTGGCAGTATAATTCCAAACATTCTATATGTTACAGTA